AGGTTCTAATGAAAAGACAAGTCTACTTGGAGGTAGGACTTCTTCTATCTCCATGTTTTGGAACTGAAGTATCTTTTTTTTTTTTAACTATTTGATTGAGTGTATGACACCCTTCTTCCTGAAGGTACTCAGTGACATATTTTTAAAATGGAAAATGAATGACTTTAACATGAAGTGTTGTGACCCCTTAGGGCATCATGAAATTAAGGCTAAGAAAAAACGTTGTCAAGCCAGTGCTGAGGTGGCCAGAGAAAGCAACCACATTCCTTTTTAACGTAACAACACCGTCTCTGTTATTTTGTCATGGCTATCAAATTAGCAAGAGGCTGGTGTCTAGAAATGAAAAAAACAAAATCAGAATTTGAAACATGATAGTAAGTAAGGTAGACCAGCCATCCCAGTTTCCCGAAGACTGAGGTGTTTCCTGGAATATGCTCTAAAAATAGGACAGTCCTGGACAAATCAGAACGGTTGGTCAACCAGGTGCGTGGTCATTTAAATAAACACTGAGTTCTGTCCCTTGCATGGGTTGGTCTCTCAATTGAAAAGGTTTACTCAGTTGGGGAGAATGTTTCCTCAGAGAAAACACCATTCAGTGCCATTATCTGGGAAGATACAGCTGGAGCACACTCTTGGAGACTTAGGCAGAGCGGGGCAAAGATCTAGCTGGCAACATAAATGTACCTTTATATTTTAGCTTCAGGTCTTGAGTGTGGTTAAGGCTGGAAGAAAGCAACGGGGCAGAGAAGCCATTCTGGAAGTGACTGCATGCATAGAGGCACAGAAAATGTACACACCCAATCTATATCAGGGCATGACATTCACCCCTAACAAATTTGGTCTATACCTCGTATCCCAAGCCTACGCAATGTGTCCTCACTTCTTCTGTCCCAGAATACCTTTTCCCTTCTTCCACAACTATGGAAAAAAATACTATTAATATTAATATCTATTTTTCTAAGTTTCTTTTTTTTTTTTTTTTTTGAGATAGGGTTTCACTGTGTCACCCAGGCTGGAGTGCAATAGTGTGATCACAGCTCACTACAGTCTCAAACTCTTGGACTCAAGCATCCTCCTACCTCAGCCTCCCTAGTAGCTGGGACTACAGGCATACGCCGCCATGCCCAGCTAATTTTTTTAGTTTTTGGTAGAGATGAAGTCTCACTCTGTTGATTAGGCTGGTCTTGAACTCCTGGGCTCAAGGGATCCTCCTATTTTTGGCCTTCCAAATTGCACATCTCAATTTGGACTAACCACATCTCAAGTTCTCAAGAGCCACATGTTGCTAGTGGCTACCATATTGGACAGCACAGGTTTAAATAATAAGTTAAAAAAATGTACTAATGCAGATGATGGAGACTTTATATGGAAGGACTTTAGTTTGATTCTATAATCAATGCGAAGATACCATAAGTTTTTGAGAATACTGCAATAACTTGTCTTAACATAATGAGAGTAAAGATTACAGAGGTGAATTCACAGAAATCGAGAGATAGGGTTATTTCTGTGACAATGAATAAATGGAAGAATAGCATCAGAACTTTGTGACTGATGGAACACAAAAAAGTAAAGGAGAGAAAGGAGCAAACAATAACTTTCAAACCCAAAATACCAGGAGAGTGGTGGGGAGGAAGTAGGAGAGAAATATCAGTCCAAGAAAGAAAGAAATTTGTTTTCAACCCTATACTCTCAGGTGATTGTAAGATAATCTCACCAGAGACACAATTTGGAGCAAGGATGAGAGATAAGGCCTGAAAAGTAGCTTTTGAGATTGATGTCATTACGTTGGTTGAACCTTAAAAATGGATAATAAGATGACTAAGATAATGACTAAGATAATGAAGGTTGATGAAGATAAGAATGAATCTAGAATTTAATCTTAACAATGCTTAGTTAGCAAACAGGACAAAGGATGATAGGAGGAAAACTAAGAGATCATGGAAGCCAAGGGATGGCCAATTTCAAGAAAGAAAGGAACAGAAAGCAGGAGAGAATTTGAGGCACATGAGAACCAAAAAATGTCCATTGGACATGGTTACAAGGAGGTCTCTGGAGCAATTAGGACCTTCATCAAGACTGAAAGAAGAAAAGAGTATTAACATTAGCTTAGCTCTCTTCTAAACTCCTGGTTTTCAGTCCTTAGAGCAACAGGCTAACTGAAGATGTTTGGATTGAGAAAGTTGACTTTTTCCAGCAGATACATTCCCAGCAAGAATCCTGGCAGAAGGAAACAGAGACCAGCACAGGGCGGGTGGAGCTCTGGGCAATTCTTGATTAATGGCCAACATAAAGAAAGCCCAGAAAGAAGCCAAGTGACAGGATGCAGGGAAATTCGCAGGGAGAGCAATGTGGGACTGAAAACCATTGCAAAACCATTATTTGGTCTTACTTAAAAAGCCAGGCAGAAAAATATGAATTTTAAAGATAACTTGTCATTAGGACTTTTTGGATTTTTTCCAACCATTTTTGCAGTGTTTTGCTGCTTACCTTAAGGGATGGGCAAGTATGGAATGTGTCCAATGGAAAGTTGCCTTTAGTTTTTTTTTTTTTTTTTTTTTTTTTTTACACATTTTTGAAAGGGGAGTGGAGAATAGCATTGGCCTGAAAGTCCTTGGTACTCTAGGGGCCTAAACTCTGGTCTATCTAATACTTTTTCTCTTTCAAGCCTATTTAAATATAGGAGAAGTATCCAGTACCTAACCATTTGAAAAATATGGATTTTAGCTTGTGTTTGCTGAAACGGCTTGGGGATAATACAGTCACAAATTAGAACTAATAAGAATCAACTCATTCAGTTTTGATAGTTAAAGTAAATCCCTTTTTCATGGACATGAGATTTACTTTGGGTTGTATTTGGCAAGTGTGGGAGGACAGGGTGTGGAATTTATTCAACTGCAAAAGTCCCTTGAAATTCCCTGAATTTCATGAAACCTTAGGAGTTCAGAGACATACACACAAACGTTTGTGAAATCATTGGAAGATGACCACCTAGGACCTAGGTTATTCCATCTGCTGAAAATGGCTAAGTTGGATTTCCTGTTACGTTCCTAAAAAGGAAACTTGGCAGATGACAGCAAAAAGTGATTGCAAAATACCAGACAGGGTGAGGTAGAAGAAGATGGGTGAAACCTATACCTAACTAGGAAGAATATGCTAATTCTATACTGAGCAGCGAAAGAAAATGCAAAGTGAGATGAAGTCAAAATAGCTTAACCTGTTTCAAACATTTTATTTCTAAAAATTCTATTCTATTTTCTCTTCTTCTAGTGCATCTTAGAGATTCATACTAAATCTGTGGCCATCCTATTCTCTTTCTACATCTAAACACATTTTAAAAGTTGAGAAGTAACCAAAGATATGATATAGGATTCAGGGTTAACCAATCATTGTGAACGGAAAATGGAATATATTAAGCCAAAGAGCAGTGTGTCAAGATATTCAGCAATCTTGTTAGAAAGTTGTTTAAAAGGACTTGCTCATTTTTGCTCAGAGATGAAATAGCAATTATTATTCACTTACCTGGACATAGTGTGTTCTTATCTGAGGAAGTAGTGCTCAGATGGGCAGATTAGATACATCAAAGATCGTATTCTCACTAAATTGGCAGTTTCTAGACGTCAGATAGATTTGTTTATCCCAAATCATTGCCTTCCAACCTAATCACAGATTCAATACAGATTCAAACACTGTTTAAATAAATAAAAATATGTGGGGAAATAATCGCTTAAGTTTAAAATTAGGAATCTCCATTTTTTGAAAAAACCAGATGAAAATTTTTATATCGGATTCCTAGCCATTGGAAATTAGATGAAGCATCTTGAATATCGAGTCTTCACCCACTTGTGCAATGCCTTGGAGCTGTGGGATTGAGTGGGAGTTTAGATTGAGTCCACATTCTTCATTTCCTTTGACAAGGAATTGGTTTTACATTGATAGACTCTCTATTACTTAAGACATTCATTTTTATCAGATAGTACTCTTGTAATCGGGTTCTTGTAAACCTCGAGTTTCTTTGATGGGATCCACGGATGGCTTCACGAGGTACATGAACTCTGGAAACAGTAAATGAGATTTTTGTACATGTACCATTTTCCGGAGTGAAGCCCCACACTATATATTAGATTCACTTGGGAAAACATGTCTTGAAGTTAAGAATGATTTAGAACATCACATTCTCTATATGTATTATACTGAGTCAATACGAATCTGGCACTTTGCCAAAGCTATTTGTCACAAGTCAATAAAGGGACGGTTAGCATGATATTAAGCAAAATATGGTAGAGCCTTCTGGCAAACAAAAGTAATAACATACACTTACTTTTCAATTCGGTGCCCGTGTTTTGCTACATTTCGGATTAAAATTAACAGAATTTCACATTGTGACTTTCATCTTATCGGGCGACTCCTAAAGTCAACAATAGCACAGTATGAGAAACCTTGATTGTGTAACTTCTGCTCTCACTCCCCCGTAAATAGCAAATGTCGTTTTCTCATAAAGTCACCCCTAAATAATCATGACTCCTTGTTCACGTTTCCTGGAGTTTTCAAAATAGCAACTGCACGTTACTTATGAGGCTTTACGTTTAAGTGTCTATGGCAGAGCACCCCGACCTGGGCTTCTATTTCTGATTATGGTGACAATTTATTATTATTTTCTTATTTCCGAATTCTTCCCAGCGTGAAAAGGAAACGCGGGATCCAAACTGCACTTAGACCAAGTCTGCTTCGGGTCCTCCAGGGAAGGCAAGAGCTGGTGCCCGCGGGCAGCTCCGCGGCTCCCCAGGCCGGAGCCCTCCCGCCCGCGCAGCGAGCGCGCCGGGCAGTGCGGGCGCCGGGGGCCGGGGACAGACCCGGGGCGCAGCGCCGGGCGCCGCCCACCGCGACGATTGGCCAGTGCGGCCCGGCGGGAGCGCGGGGGGCGGGGAGGAGGCGGCCGGCCCCGCCCCCTGCCCCGCCCCCGCCCCGGCGCCACTACACAGAGCGGCGCCCACGTGCCCTGCCCGCCTTCTGCCGCGCGGCGACCCGGCGCTCCTGTTCGCGCGGACCCGTCCGGCGGCGGCCGCTCCTCCAGCCTCCCCGAGCCGGGGCGCCCCACCAAGTCCAGCCGCTCGCCTCCCGTCACCCCCTCGGCGCGGCCCCAGCGCAGCCCCGTGAGTTGCCAAGTCTCCCGCCCCGCCGAGGGGCCGCCGCGAGGGGCGGCCGGGCGCTGGGGCCGGCGGGGCCGCAGTGGGACGGGGCCCCGAGCGGTTCGCCCAGCTGCGTGCAGCTGCCGGCAGGCCGCGCTCCGGCCGCTCGGAGGCGGAGAGCCGGGGGGCGGTGGGCAGGGGGTGCGCTCGGGGTGCGCCCCGCCTCGTGCGGCCGGGTCCGCGGGGTGCGGACGGGGCTGCCCCGGGGCGTCGGGGGCCGCGGGAGCTGGGAGGGCGCCTGGCACGGCGACTCCGCGGGGCCCTTTAGTCATTCCTGTTCTGGGGGCCCTGGGCACCCCTCTCTGGGAGGGTAGGCCAAGCCTCTCCTCCAAGCATGCCGAGGGGTCCCCCCAAAGTCGCCTTCCACTCCGTTGGGGTTCTTGGAATACCAAACGAGGCTCGGAGCGCTGGAAGCCTTTTCCCATCCTGCAGGGGACCTTGGCAGGACAGGTAAAACGGCCTGTCGTGGCGTCTGTCGCAGAGGTGGGGAAACCTGCGGCCTTAAGGCCACGTCGTGGCCTGCTAGATCCTTAAGTGTGGCTTTTTGGAAGGATGGGGTATTTTCAAGTGAACGGGTGCCGCGCTAACCCGTTTGACACGGGCTATATCTTTTAAGCCCATTCCATGAAGTCTCCAACCTTGAACTGGAAATGCCATTCTTGAGTCTTAGGGAATCACACTACCCATCACCCCAGAGTACTTGTCAGCCCAGAGAACTCTTCACCTTCTGTTTACGTGTACATCCAGCCCGTGGAGTAAGGTATTCAAATATCGCGTCTTAAAGTTATTTAAAAGAAACGTGCTTAACAAAATCAGTCACATATGGCTGTGGAAGGGCAGACTACCTAGATTTCAGGAGTGCAAGTATTCAGCCTGTTCAAACTTTCAAATATTTATACAAAACTGTCTTAAAAAGCCTGTAGGTGACTAATTTCAGACTGGTAATAAAAATTTATCTAGACGTTTGTGCAGTTAACACTAATCCTTTTAACGGGGCCATATAGCATGCCAGATCTTATTCAAATAGAGCTTTGCGAATCCTGTCCTGCAATCTGGGACCTGAAGTTAGAGGGTTTGTGGCTTCATACTTTTTCTTTCATGCCTGAGCCAGTCTTTAAAACTTCTGTCTCCTCTTTTTCCTTTAGCATTAGTAAGAATTATCTTCTCAAGGAAAGTGAAACATTTTGTGTTTGTAGTCTTTCTCTGCAGGATGTACAGGATAAGATTATTCTATATTAATTATATATTTTCTTAGGGTTGCTTTTTTCTTTTAATTGCCCTGAAGCTTAACATGAAATGATCTCACAGTGCAGAAGAGCATATGACTTTTTATTCTCTCTCTCTCTCTACTAAAAAATTGCTAGTTGGCTGCTGTGCATTGAATCTGGGAGGCCACGTTATTGTGATTTTTTTTTTTTTGTCTTTTCCTCCCTTGCCCCTGGCTTTGTTTCCACACTGTACCTTGATTTGGAAATGTCATTTACCTTAAGGCATTTTAATCTTTTAGAGTGTCCCATGGCCTTGGAGACCAGAGTAAAGCGCTGTGGTATCTGCAAGGATTCCGTTTGCAGAATCCTTGGTCTCTTTTGCAGGTCTTCATAGCCCTTTTGATTCCAGAGTCTCTGATCATTGTCACTGGATTTAGGAGCTTGCGAAGGACAACGGAGGCTAGGAGGGGAAACATGATAGCTGTGGTAGTTTAAAAACTCTGAGAATACTCTGGAGTTTTTCCTTTTGTATTCCCATATAGACATATGTGTCAGAAGAATTTTTTTTCCCCCAAAGACAGCAATAAGAACAATTTTAAAGTTCATGTTTTTTGCTTTCCTCTGCAAACATGCCCATCTTTGCAGAATGGAAGTGCCTCATCTCTGTTCTAGGTGGCCCACCTTCTGTTCTCTTCTTGTATCTCCTAGCTTAAGTCATTGTTTCTCCTGCCTGTTCATGCCAGATGTTGAGCCCTCTTCTGTCATTTCTTATCCTTTTGGCCCTACTTTTTCAGATGGCTTTCCCTCGTAGGTTTCTCCAGTAACTTCTCTATTTAGCTTGGTTTCTGTCTTCCCTTCTGTTTTATTTGTATGCTTCTCTCTCTCTCTCTCTGTCTCTCTCTCTCTCTTCTCTCTTTCTCTCTCTCTCTCTCTCTGTTTGTGTGTGTGTGTTCAGAGCCATCTGCTGGTTTTATTTTGGTACCCTTCAGTGACCAACTTTCAGAACAGAGTCTTGAAAACATCTTCATGTTGCTATTTGCCTTATTATTTCCCCAAACTTGTGGATATGAACACACTGATTTTTAAAGACTGGCTTCTTATAGACTACTTACTGGATGCCACACATTTAGAACAAAAGCAAAAGTTTCAGTTGAATGTATTTCTAATTATTCACATGTTTAGTATTATGTCTGTTATTTGAATACTTTGTCATCCAACTGAATCCTGAAAAACTCAGTTTTCTGTAAGATTTCACTTATGTGATATAGGATTTAGATAACTTATCTAAATGGTTTTGAAAATCTTAAGTGGTTAACTCCTTTATAAATCTTTAATCTGGATATTCAAAACCAGATAGGTATAGCCTTAAAATAACAGAAAACTAATGGAATTGTTCTTGTCATTGTTTTCTATTTAAAAAACTTTTCATTCTGGTGCTTAACACAGTGTGTATCACATAACATATGTTCAGTATGTCTTTATGGTTGAGCGAATGCTGCTGATTTCAACAATTTAAGAAAAGGTGTTTTATCCATCTTCAAATGTATTTATTCCTTCATTGAAGGAGTTATCTTTACCAGATACTGGACAACCAAAAAAGTACGGATAGCTCCAATTTTGGTAGGATTCTATAATTATTTTTACATTTGGGAAACTCTCTGTTGATGGATTTTAAAAGTAGTTTTTAAGTTTTGCTGTCAACTGTATGAAAAATAACACCACCTCTAGGCAGGTGACTTCAGTAGTGCCTGCATCAGAAGGCAAGTAATGAAATACTCCCTCTAATATATGAAGACAGTACTACTGTTTCATCATCAAAAGCCCATGTGCTTGGCATTTTTGTTTCACTGGTAGTAATAAATTTGTCCCAACTCCTCTTACATTTCCTTTGACTTACCTTTCTGGCTATTGTTGTGAAGTGGTGTCTGGCTGTGCAAATGTTGTGAATGCCATTGACAAAACCAACTAGAAATTCATTTCCATCATCCTCCAGCTAGTTAACATAATCACAAGATGATTCATCTATTAACTTTTGTTGTCTAATATAATAAACGTAACTATTATATATTAATCTGTAGAAGCAAGCAGTATACCCTTGCTTTTCCCATGATTATGGATTCTTGTTGAAATATTTCTGAGAAGGTCCTCTGCTGCCATTATGTTCACCTTCTCACCGGTGAGTTTAATTAGTATTGACTTAAAAGATTTGAAGTGACGTGACTTTTGTTTAAAAGGCTGGATTTGAATATGTGGGTCATGTTTCTTCTTTTCTTATTTAGACTTTTAGCTTGGATCTCTCTCCTCAGGGAGCTCTGTGGCTCACTGTGTTTCTGGGTGTGTATGGATATGATACATTGTGGAAAACCTTGGGGTTTCTTGACACAAGACTGTATATACAAGACTGAATCATCAAGCTGGAGTGTTCTAGTGCTGTAAATGTCATGCATTTAATTTTATGCCTTATTCCTATCCCCTTGCAAAAAATACAAGTAAAAAATAAAATATGTAAAATGAAATGAAAACTACACCCACACACCCATTCTGGCGCCACTGCATGCTGGCACCTCTCTTCAGAACTGAACCCAATCAGGGATTCAGCAATAAGGCAAATGATATGAGAACATTCCATGACCTTTTGTCCAGGAGTTTGGAAAAAAAAAACAAAAAAAAAAACTCTGACTATGTCGTATTCTTTTTGGAATATTTGGTGAACAATACACAACGAAGAATTTTTATGTCCCCTGTTGATTCTTACTAGTTTTTCCCACAGTTGTGGGGAAAATTCTCTTCTTTCCTTAACCCATTCTGGTTTCACAAAGGCTCCTTAAGTCTTCATTCACTTATATCTAAAGCAATGCTAGCTTCACCATCAAAACCCACTTCCTTCCCGCGGAGACCTGGTGATCACAGTGTATGGACTTTGGTGTCACCAGGGATGCTGAATGACACTATAATTAAGATGCTCTTATTTTATACTTTGCCCGTGTTTGTTTTTGTTTTGTTAACAAATTGTTTTGATCAGATTCCGAGTTAAGTGGATCTATGCCACTTAAAAGCAGATGTCTCTTTGAAACATCAAGTATTAAAGTAAACCTTCACTCTCACTTTTTATTCATGTTTACTTCTGTGTGGGCAGAAACATGTTATGTAGATTGGTAACTTGATCATATTTGGAAGATAAAATTTGTTTGGTAGGGCCTTTTCTTGCCTTGGCTATCTGTTACCTTGGTTAATAATGCTGGAAACTCAGACTTGTGGGGGGAGATGGGGAAAGGGCATTTATTGAAACCTTAAAATTTGTACCCCCAGAATATGCCAAAAATAAATAAATAAATAATGATGGTGATGCTGACAGTTCTAGGAGAATTAACAGTTATTTTGTATTAAACCTTAAGGAAAAACTGGAATCTCTTTGCAGGTTCAGTGTTACTTGTTTACTCCCTTAATACAAACTTGGGCCAGATTTTCTGAATGCAGTGCAATTTTTACTTTGAAAAAAATCACATAAACTTTCTAGAACTTGAAATATATTTGACTGGCAGGAGTGAGAAATCTGTGTATCGCGTGCAATGTCTCTTTTCCCAAAGCATGTTTATCTTTTGGGTTATATTCCTCTTCCACCCTTCATGCTCCACCATTCTGGCTTCTAAAAAAAGGTATGCATTTGGTAGAAACAACTGAATTTGATTTTTGTGAAACTAATTGTAAAATTTCTCACCGCTAATATGCAAAATTTGTGGAATTTAGTAATTGTAT